ATTAATCTGTACCTGTAACACTTTTACTTATTGTCAACACCTGTCATTTTGAACTCATTGGTCGCTCACTGTGGCCCCACCCTACCACCCGTGGGTCATGATTTGAACAAACGTGAATCTACACTACCTCACAATGATTCCAGATAAGTTTCATATTTTTAAACACAGTGGTTCTTGAGAAGAAGATTTTTAAATGATGCCATTAATTTTTGCACGAAATCATAATTATCTCTCCTTGGAAGAAGGCGTGGCCCTTCATTTGAACATACTTAAATCCCCTTTACCCAATGATAAGTGGAAAGTTTAGTTGAAATTACTGAAGTAACCCAGTGGTTCTTAAGAAGAAGATGAAGATGAAGATGTGAAAACTTTACGACAACAGACAGCGGACAAAGGATGATATGCCATACGGCCCCCGGTAAGTTGGCAAAAAATAAAATATCTAAATTTTACTCTAATTTTCGCATCCACTTAATCACTAATATGTGTACCGTCATGGAATAGTACTTTTACCGAAAATGGAAACAATTCGGAAGATCTTTATTTTGAGTAGGGGTACCATGTTTACATCCAATTCCCATTGAATTTTGGCCCCGCCCCACTCTTTGAAGCCCTTAAAATATACGAGCGAAAGTAGGTACATTTTTCTCCTTTGGATGCTCGCTGTATTTTATTGAAATCTACCTATATGTGAAAGGAGAAAATTGTACCTAATTGCGCTCAAATGTTGTGTTTAAAACATTGTAAAATCTGGTTGATCTTCCCCATTAGGAACAGATCGACGAAACTTTTTTTTCCGACGTAAGAATAGATTCATATGCTAATCGAGGCACCGGCGTGACTTTCTAACCGATCAATCAGCTAAATGAGTTGCATTACGCGTGAGTACTACAAAAATTCAAGAAAATTTAATGCTTGGTGAAATGGCAAAATTGTTTTTCTTGTTTTCCGATAAACATTTTTTTTTATTCATTTGAGTCACAGATTAGACACGAATCTACAATTTCCCTGCTCATAATTACAAAAAAAATTTTTATTAATATACATTGTATAATTTCATAGTTTTGTAAAGCGTCGTTGGGCATTGGCTACAAATATTCCCAAAGAATCAGTGAATACACGTTTCATTGTGAATTTCTCGACCCAAAACTGTTAACACTGAGGTTCATACGTATTATCATGTATAAAAAGCCTTTGCTGACCATTAAAAGGTTGAAATGTAGTAGAGATAATGTGTGAATTGATCTAAGCCACGTGTCTTTGATAAAATGTAAACATGTAGTAAACCTAGCTGTTTTGTCGTTCAGTCATCGGGTTGGGTAAGCGACTATGTGCGAAATAATAACAATAGCCATATAAGGTAGATTCCTTGGACATACATACCTCTATTGTACTAAGAGCCGCCTATTCTCTTTTCATAAAAGATCCTATTGTCACAAACCAAGTCGAATTTTGCTCTCATGGGATCTAAAAAATCATAGATAATGCAGTAATCCCCATAATTAAAATGTGTTGGAACTGTTGAAACTATTCAAAAAGCGTCGTATTTATTCACTTTTGTTTGAAAACTATCAAAATCGTTGTAGAATAAGTATAATTCGTCGTAGAAAAAGGGGCCGCAGAAAGAAGTTTTGGCACATCATCCTTTCAACCAGCAAAAGCTCACTTGAGCCTTCGGCTTAGGGAGCTAAAAATGAAATATCTTTTCAGCATACTGACCTCTTAAAAATGTGAGAAAATAATTTAAATACTTGTCTGAAGATGGAATAATATTGTGAGTATCTAACAATGTATAAAAGTATTTTGATCTCTCTAACTATACAGTCATAACATATGAAAAATGTCATGTCCCTTGTAATTAAAAAATCATTTTAATCTTAAGGACATTACCTACCATGGAAATAATGTACATTTGTTTCTGGCACAACCAATCCACAAGAGACCTTTCAGTACTTAGCAGCATGCATTAGCTCTCCATTTGTAATATTGTTGACAAATTATTAAACGGCTTTAAAGTTTAGAATTTATTGTAAGTCCAAAAATATTAATTTCACAAAATGTAATTTAGAACAAACTGAATTTTAACAATGGATTTTCGTAGATTGACTCACATACAAGCTTATACTCAATTAATCTTTGACAACTCCGCCCAGTTTCGTACTGTCCAGCCAATTAACTTAAGGATAAGAAAGTTGCATGAACAGGGTGAATCCGTACGACATTAATTTACAAGTCTGAAATTAGGTAGAGCTAAGCATAACAAATTCAAAGAACACAATCCTAAGATCTAACCATAAAGTTGATAACACGTATGAGTAAATGACATTGATATCGTGAGACAGGAAAGAGATGTCAAGAATTAGATATTGCTACCATGTGCAAAAATGCCCTTTCTAAACATCAAATAGAAACAATTAACTTTCATTTACAGATGTCAAACAAGACCGAAAATTAATGGAACAAATATATAGAAATAGATTGATAATTAATGATTTGTCATTTATTAACCCTCATAATACATAATCAATACACATTCTTTGTTTCTACAAAAAATATATTATGAAAAGGTAATTTTTTGAGAGCTAAGTTCTAACTTGACTTTAGGGGACAGCAATTTTAAAAGAGGACAGGGAGCAAATTATTTGAAGTTAGATTAATTATTCCCCTGCCAGTGAAGGACAGATTATATAATTTCCATAATAATCAGGGACAGATTATTCATGTTTATCCTTAGTGAAGTTTGACACCCCCCATCACCACTACAAACGGAAAAAATGACTCCTCAACTCTTTTTTTATTGAGGTAAAGGTGGTAGTGGCATTAGAAAAGGAAAGATTATTAAACTTTTTTCCCAGCTGAGAACAGACTAAATCTTTTCAACATTTTTGAGGATAGATAATTTTTTTTCAACCCCCCCCCCCCCATCCCTGCAAGAAACGAAAAATGATCAACCCTTTATTTAACCGCCCTTATCCTATAACATTTTTTTGTGATGAAATTTTTAAATTTTAATTTATTATATACTGACACTGATGCACAGTGTTAGTAGATGAAACAAATTAAGAGATGCCCTCTCTCTCTCTATGCACTCCATCCCTCCCTCAGATGATTCGTCTGAAATGTTAAACGACTGTTGATCAACACCTTAAATGACAGAAAACAATTATACACAACAAATAAGACACATTTTCATTACCTTGTAGTCGGAGTCGAGTATACACCATCCCGCAATCTTGTTTTATTGTTTTCTTTAATATCTTGGCGGAATTCTTGTTGCCTTTTAAACTGGTTCCCATACGTTGCAAGTGCACTGAATAAGTCCCACGTTTATTGATTTGTTTATAAGAGCTAATATCAGGAATATGTTCCGTTCATTTGACAACCTTTATTCTAAAATATTGAATATACTTTAGCACATTAGAAAGATATTTTCCATGTCAGTATTCTATAATCCTCTCCATGCAAGTAATATGGAAAATCTTCTCTGACACCAAATGAACGATCTACTTTAAACAGTAACCCAAATATTCGGTTGAATAGGCAATCATTTCAAATCAAATTAAGCGGATCTACATCGTTTTTTTTACAGAAATAGGCAATCAGTGATCAGTTGATTCGATACCTTTTCATTTAGATTTAAGGTTTTGCCAAAGATCAACTTGTCCAAACATTTATTTTTACAATACAATTTTTTTTAAATATTTGTTTTCAAGTGATACTTTCTATCTGTTAATCAATGATATATTTATATAAACTGTGAACGTTTTAACTTAATACCTTACATAGTTATGGAGCTATTGTAAAAATAAATTTGGACATCTTGACCTTTGGCAAAATCTTAAGATGATTCTTGCTTTGACAACTGCTCGAGCTCCGGGGCGGACATGCACTGCAGGTTTGTTCTATGTTTACTGCTTTCGAGCTGTTTTCAGCATACATTATGAAACATTGAAACTGATGAAAATCAGGAAAAACTATGAATGTGCTAAAATTGTTATTCTGTGGTGTGTTTTTTAGGGGAAATTGCTGTTACCATGAAGATAAAAAAAAATAAAAAATATGCCCTAGTTTGCAAAGCAGAGTCAAAATTTTATTTCATTCTAAAATTTCTTTTGAGTTTTCAAGGATACCTTTTTATGTGATTTTTGACTTCAGCATATTACATTATTTTCCCTTTTTATCCATAAAAACATTCATTTTTGTTGCTAGGCAACGGATAGTAATTTTTAAAATTTATACGCTTCTGAATTCAATTCTAAAAGAAAAAAAATCTTCTGCTATTATATTATATTCACACACATGATGTCTGTATTAGGTTAATCATTTGAAAAATTAGACATTGAATAATTCCAAAATCCAAGAAAATGCTGAGTCATAAAAAAGAAAACATCTATAAATACCCATACCTATCATACATATATCTTTAAATCTAATTTCTATATTTTTGATGGTGAAAACACTTAAAATATTTCTCTTGAGAATAACAGCAATAAAAAAAAGAAATTCTTTTAGTATTCACATTTAATTTGAGCCTGACAGATAAGCGAATTTTCGCTCCATCGAAGCTGAAAATTGGCCGGTTGCTAGGGACATTTCTTTACCCATATTTCTATGGTAACCATGAACGAAAACATTTTTCATTTTGCATACATGGTTCATAGTGCAAGTGAAAACTATGTGTGGAAAATCATCAAATTCTGAGAACCCTAATATATCACCTACATGGCTATTTTGCATGATTTTAGCACAGACCTGTACTTAATACTTCAAATTACAAGGAAACATTACTTTAGAACTATTTTGAGATTTATAGACTTAATATTCCTTACATCAAATGGTGTAAATTGTGGGGGAATATATGTGAATAAACAGGTGAATATAAAAGTAATATAGAGAAATCGTATGCAAGATTGGGAGAAAATTAAACATGACAATTTTAAATTCAAAGTAATATACTTTTTTTTATTTTTATTTATTTTAGTAAAGCTATAATTAAATTTAACTACTATATGTATATCACACTATAGTTCATTACAGTATTTTTTGTGATTGAAAATTGACAGAAATATTTTATGTCAAAAAAGAAAATGTTAACATAGATACATGACATTGAACATGATCGCTAAATAGTGGCAATAGTACGGAAATGCTAACAAATGGATATTCAAAACTGACAGAGTACAAAAAAGCAGGAAGGAGGAAAGGGGAAAGAGTTTAAATTGTATATGTGCATTTAGATTAGTTTTGTTTTTCTAAAGCATTTTTTTTCTAATTATGCTTTTGAAATAACAATTATTATTCAGTCGCATATTGATGATGCAAACAAATCTAAATAAGGTTCAATAAAAGTGTATACCATTCCAGGGTTATGGAATTCAAGAAAATTGTGGAGGAAGTCGTCGACATATCCCTCTTTTGTCACAATTAATCCCTTCGTTTTAGCCAGTATATTGTAGAATTTCTCCACCAAGGAGCCTGCAGCTAACCCTCCACTTGTGATTCCAACTGTTGGTAGTACAACAGATTTGACAAATGTGGCAATTGTAGCCATAAGTCCTCCTCTAATCACCCAGCGACACATTCTTGAAAATATGGATGTCCTCTTCTCTTCTAGTTCTATCGTGTACGCATATGCTATTTAAATGAAATATTTAGGGAAAAGACATTAATTTAAGACCGTGTAAAATATTATTCATATAAAGTCTGGTTTTAACATATCGTTAGTTCGGATGTTGACTGACGTTCTTTAAATTCATATCGATTTATCTAACAATTACTCTGTTAACCTTAACCCCATTAAGATGAAGGGTCAAGGCGAATGAATTTAACTTTGATATAACTGTTCGTTATCTTAAATTATATACTAAAGAAAAATAATAGATTGTTTAAAGGAAAACATGATTTTACCGCATCATATATTTCATATTTGCTTCTGTCTCTCTTCCAACGGAACAAAATAAGTTAAGGTCACAATTTTGTCCTTATTAATGGTTTTGCAGCAAGACAAGAAGTGTCAGAGAAAAAAAACCATGCCCTCCGTGTGGCAAAATCAATAACGGCCATCTACTTTCTAGGGGGAAGCAATGTACCAAGTTTGATATTTATCAAGCAAATTGTTCTCCAGGTATTGAGCAGACAATATCTTCCTATGTCTAGAGCAGTTTGGTGTTTGACTTTGTGACCTCAATCTCTGCAGTGGCATCCACTCCTCGGGGGAAACCAGTGTACAAAGTTTCATATGTGTCAAGCAAAGTGTTCTCAAGATATTGGACTGTCAATATCTTCCTATGTCCACCTTGACCCTTGATCTTGTTACCACAAAATCAAAAGGAGTCATCAACTTCTTAGAGGGAAACAGTGTACCAAGTCTTGTTTCTTTAGTAAAGGTTCTCAAAATATTGAGGTCAAAATATTGTTATGTCCAGTTTGACCCTTGACCTTACTACCTCAAAATCTACAGTGCTCATCTACTCCCCAACGGAAACAAATGTAAGAATTTTGGTGTCTTACTAGCAAAGGGTTCTCAAGACATCTAATGGACAGTATCTTCCTGTGTCAAGTTCGACCTTTGACTTCAAAATCCATAGGGGTCATTTACTCCTGAAGGAGAACAAAGAACCAAGTTTATGAATCTCAAGCAAATTGTTCTCAAGATATTTAACGGACAAGCTCTTCACGATGTTTAAAGTAATTGACCCTTGACCTTTAATCTCACCTAAAATCAATATGGATCATCTACTCTTCAGGGGGCATCAGTGTGCAAAGTCTGATAAAATCTGCCAATCAATGGGTTTTGAAGATATTAAGCGATCAACACTTGGTCTACTGACCGAACAACCGACGGCTTCAAAGCAATATGCCCCCTTTTTCAAGGGGGGAGGGGGTTACCTTGACAATCTTCTACTGTTTACAGTTATGCAAAGTTTGTAATTTAACAAAAATAAACAAAATGTTCTGTGTTTCTATTGTTATACGGTTATAGGTCATTGTTTTAATACTAATGCGACAACTGATTTCCCGGTTCACCTGATCAAAACAGAGGGCTCATGGCGGGTGTGACCGGTCGACAGGGATGCTTACTCCTCCTTAGGACTTGATCCCAAACTTTGTTCTCATAGGGATTCACATTTTTTGCTCTGTTCACAATTTGAATTGTTTAAAATATTTATGAGATCGCTAAATGTTCGTTAACTTCACCTTTTTTTGACAAAGATGTAGAATACAAAGTTGTCATTAACTCTTATTAAAGTCTGTAAACTAGAAAAAACAAGATGTGTTTGTGAAACACTATGCACCCGGCGGCAACAAAGTTCGAAAAAGATATTTTTAGCTTATAGGTCACAGTCAAGGTCATTGACCTTGTCATTTGAAAGAACTTAATTAGTGGAGTATGCATATCAAATATGAAGTCTCTATCTCTCATGGTTCAAAAGTTATGGCGAAGGTTAAGGTTGACGACAGACAGCCAGACATACAGACAGACAGGACAAAAACAATATGCGCCCCCGATCTATCGATCCGGGCGCATAAAAATGATACATCCCTATTAAGGCACATGTTGCTAATTTAATTTTAGAAAACAGGGTTGAAACAAATGTCAATCTTACAGAGTCTACCTTACTCTTTTTTTACTGTATTGTGATAAGAACACCAAATCCTTAAATGTCTTGATCTAAAGGATATTTTATGAAAAAAGACCATTTAAACACAATTTAACATTCACAAAAACAGTAAATTGTTTTACGTGCGTTTTAGATCTAAATGTAATATGAACATGGGGTTCTTTTAAAGATAGAGAATATCTTCTGCTTCTGTCAGAATCACGAGGAGACATTTTGCACTTTCAAAAGAGTAATCTACAAATTTCCACCTTCACTGTTCCTCAGATATTTATTTCCAATCTTAATGTGATCAATACTCCTACAGATTCATGTTTTACATACCTTGTAAAGCTGGGATGGAAAAAATTAGTATCAATATTAATGCTTTGACACCCATTACGATGACTCTGAAAAAAAAAAATAAAGCGTCCAGCTTAAAGGTAATTTACATACCTGTAAACATGTATTTAACATTGATAAGATCTAATATTTTGCCTTAATTCCTCTTTCATTTTCTTATTGAAAGAATTTTGTCAGCTGGTTATACGTTTCATCCAGTGGGTACGATTTTTAAAAATGCTTTAGTCTTGACGCATTGATATTGATTTTTGTTAGGTAAAGATTTCCGACGATGTGTCAGCTGGTTATACGTTTTATGCAGTGGGAACGATTTTTAAAAATGCTTTCCGACGATGTGTTAAAATAAGAATTTTAGAACATTTCTGCATTGTATTAATGTTAACAAAATTAACTGATTATTATTTACTAACTTTGGTTTTAAAATCGGAGATGTTTAAAGTGAATAATTATTTGAAGGATTGTAGTTTTGGGTCCCTTGCGAGATTGACACGTCACTATATGCCGGTGAAGCGTTTCCAGTGCCGACCTTTACTCGAAACTCAGGGTCATTGAGCAGTGAGGGATCTTTATCGTGCCAACACCTGTCGTGGAACAGGGCCTGGGTTTTTAAGGTTTCATCCGAATGATTTGCAAGCTTTACGAAAGCCTGCCAAAGGAACAGTTGTTACCCATTTTTTCACTGCCCACGACATTCCGATCACGAACCCACTGAGCTACCTTGAGGTTTATTCTTCATTAAACATTCACCAATTATGGTTCAGTACAACAGTCGATAAAGATAAAAATTTAATGCCAAAGGAAAAAAAATTAGTAATTAATACACAGCAAGGCTGAAATTATCAGATTTGAAGGTATTCAAAATACATTAAAAGGGAAAAGAAAAATGAGCAAACAATATATTTTACCTTTTTATTTTGCCTTAAGATATCCAATGAAACTATCTCTCTGATCGACCTATATATTTGAACCAATCAATAGAATGATAAAAACAAAACGTGCCAAGTTTTTATTGGGCAATATATTTAACTTGTCTGTACGGATATTGCGGTAAAGTTATATTTAAAACCTGGAAAAAATAAATAAGAAAAATAATTTACCGCAACAGAATTTTCATCTGAATGTTAAATTTGATGCGACAAAACCCAAACTATTATGATCAAACAAATGAATTATACTCAGAAAAATGCCTTATTCTATTATGATTGTAATGCTGATGCTTCAGAGTCTTTGAATATGTTCTTCTAAAGAATCACATGGACTATGTTGCTCTTGTGTTGTAGTGATAGTGTATTCAGATACAGACCCTTCTTTTGATTTTTCAGGGGTGCATCCGCAAACGACTTAGACATGTCTTGTAAGGTTCTTTTGTTAGACTCGCCCATTTTTAAGCACCACACAATATGACAGATATCAACACACCTCTTTTAATTAAATCTAAACATGAAAAATAAATAGTAACTTGATTAGCAAGGTTTAAAACTTGGATTTCAGCCATAGGATTACACGCCACACGTCCAGGTCGACACAGTGAGCAATGTTCATAGCGATAATACCAGCACAAAAAAATGTAAACAAATAACTCATATATTTCAGCTTTGCTCCCGAATTTTCAAGCACAACACACCTTTGTATGTTTTTTATGTTTTCATAATCCATTCAACACTCTTTCTCTGCTGAATTAACTAAAGAATCACATTTAGTCGGAGTTAGTAATAAACCGTGTTTACACGAACAAGGACCACAACTCATCCCAAGACTAGTATATTAAAATTTAAAACTCTAATTCGATTTAGAAATTTTAATGGTTAAGTGTTACACAGACCCATATCTAAAAACACCAGTCTGTTGAATCATTAAATGGCAGAGGAAACAAATTGATCAATACACTAATTTTTAAAAGGAGTTTTATGATGCAAGATCACTATGATATTCTTTCTCTCTCAAACTTTTTTTTTTCAATGAGTGAGACATGAGCATTTTAATATCTTAACTGTATTTCATCCCAATAGAATGGATCTCACATTAAAACAAGATTGTCCTGTCATTTCTGGGAGGGGGGGGGGGTAACAAACAGTTGGAAGTGGCGAATGCTGTGGATTTGGCAAATAGCAGATATGTAGCACCTTTGGCATTTTTCTAAAATGTCATGACCTACTTCCTAACTGGAAGTAAGAGCAGGAATGATCTCACCTAAATATAGAGAAATTAAGAATATATTCAGTGATTGTTTAAGAGGAATCTATTATTTTATTATGAACTTGTAAGGTCTGCGTGTGGTTCATATTTCACCATAATTAATTATCTGAAGAAGGCAGAACCCCTCCAAGCGCCATCATATGTAGACATTGTAACTTTTATCGACAACAATAAGTTGAACCCATATTTTCAGTTTTAGTCAAATTTCTCTAAACTGGTTCCCATCAGGGAGATTATAAGAATAATTTAAAATGTTTTTACTAAAAGCGCAAAAATTGACGTAAAATTAATGGTTTTGCTGAATTATTAATATTAAACTTTTAAATATATTAAACAGGATATTGGAAGGAAACGACATGTAGAAAGCGACTACTCCAAGAGCAGTGTTACAACGAAAGTCGTACACATAGTTGGCAACAATACCATAAATTTGAAAAAAAAATTCCATGTTTATCCCCAGCTACATGGTGGAGTCCTACAATTTCAAAAGAGGACGTTCAAGCAATAACCAACGATGCTGAAAAGAAACAAACAATTTTTGATCGATATAGCTTTGGATTTTTGTTAAGTCATTTGATTTCGTACTGAAGTTTTAATATACAATTATATAAAACATAACATAATTGATATCAATTTTAAAGGAACGATTTTGTCAACAAATTAATCAAGAAATTATTGGATGAGGATCATTATGAACCAGACTCAGCGGCTGAAAGGTAATTTGTGCAGAAATGCAAAATGATTACTTTCTGTAACTACCCTTATAATTTGTTTCGTCTTTTAATAAATCAGGTACACTTTTGTAAAGAGAAAAACCTATCATGGAGGACCGTGCACATACGAATCCGTCGAAAAGGTAAGGATTTTGATAATGTCTAAGGAAGATAATGTTATGTATGGAAAGCCGTAGGGTACCCCCACATTATTATTATTTTTTCCTATATAAGTATACCAAAAATAATTATCTCATACAAAAATAAAAATCTTGGTTTTTCTTTACAACATTATTATTTTCCTGCAACAATTATAATCTTGTCTGCCAAACGTGTACACATTATTTTTATTCTGCCCCAACATTATAATAATTATTCTCACTTTACAATTATAATCTTTTCAGTTAGTACGGAGACATTATTTTTATACACCTCCAAATTATAATCTTGTCAGTCGATGTCTACACACATTATTTTTATTTCGCCTCAAAATTATAATAATTATTCTTTCTTAATAATTATAATCTTGTCTGTCCATGTGTACACATTATTTTTATTTCGCCTCAAAATTATAACAATTATATTCCACATCGATCATACAATAATTATAATGTTCAACAATAATAATCTCGACCAGAAAAGATGCAACATTATTATTATTTAGACGCTTGACAAAATCAAACGTTTGTATGATTCTGATGCACAGCACAATTATAATCTTGACATTCACCAATTTCGAGAAAGATTATTATTTGGACGCTTGACAAAGGAAACGTTTGTCTGCCGAAGACAATCACGTGACTCAAGGCCATGTGCTAATATCAACGGTGCGGCAGTGCCAGTGAAAGTCAGGCAGTATGCCGGTAAGTAAAGATGATTTTGTGATATTATTGTACAAGTAAGTGATTTACATTCATTCGATAAAGGAAATGTCTCAGAAATCAGCTGTCAGCATATTGTAATTGAACTACAGCTTCCGAAGAAACTAGTTCGAATTATCTCTGTACCTTTGTATAGGGGATGGAGATTACATGGTGATTTTATGTTCCATATATAGGTAAAGTGGCAATAAATTATATGATATATCTTTACTAACAGATATATCTTTACTATCAGTATATGCTCGTATTTTAAAGTTTTAGCTTGAATTTTCTCTGCAGTAAATCATTTACATTGAGTCTTACTGTCAGTTGAAAATCTGACTATTGATGACTTGTCTTGATTTGCTGATTTTATGTAGTTATCTATGATTGGACCAAAACATTTCTCTTAATATGGCACCAAACACCTATGTTTGTGTGTTTGTTGTTTAACGTCCCTCTCGAGAATTTTTCACTCATATGGACCTATACTCGGCACTCAGAGTCATTGAGCAGTGAGGGATCTTTTTCATGCCAGCACCTACTGCAACACAGGTTTTATACGGTCTCATCCGAAAGACCGGTCTCCACCTCCCGCAGTGGGATTCGAACCCGTGATGTAAGGATCAACTCCTTACTCGATTCTAAAGCAAATGCTTTAACCACTGTGCCAAGCAGGCGACCCTATGTTTGTTAACATGAGCCTATGTTTGTTAACATGAGCAAGAGCTATGTTATTGTTAATTTTTACATTTTACACGGTGTATTCAATTAGCTACCAGTTAACTGCACAAATCACTAAACACAATTAGGCAACACTCGTGTGTTGGATTTGGTTTTAGCTCACCTGAGCCAAATGAACATTTTGTCTGTCTGTAAACTTTTCACATTTTTGACTTCTTTTCAAGAACTACTGGGCCAATTTCAACCAAACTTGCCATAAAGTATCCATGGGTAAAGGGGAATCAAGTTTGTTCAAATGAAAGAAAAAGTGAGCAAGCTCACATACCCCACGCTTCCCCAAAACTCGACAATGCAACACGTAATGAATGGCACAGTGCATTTTAAATACACAGTATAATTCAAAAAAGGGGCATTACTTGCAAAAAATCATCACATCAAAACTTCTTGCATATAAGGACATTCAAATCTTTGTATGTTACAAATTTAACTGGGCTGAAGTTTCTAGATAAATAATGGAATCAAAATTTCTTGGTAATATACAAATCTATACATTATTCTGAAATACCTACAAAGTTTCAGGAAATTCAGTGCCGGAATTATGCCGACAAACTGTTATTTAAATTCCTCAGTGATTTCGATTTGTTAATGAGTGTAAGTCCATGTCCAACACATGACAGTTTACACATTTAAATAATTGATGGAAACAAAATTATGATGTAGTCATATGAATCTGTTTATATACTGTACTTATGAAATTATTTAAGGCAAAGCACACCAATTTGAAGGGGGGGGGGGGGGGGGGGGAGAGAACTATCGAAGATGGTGTGTGTGTGAGTGTGTGTTTGTGTTAAACCATTAATATTTTGATCTCAAAATCAATAGGGGTCTTTTAAGGTCATAAAATATTTCACATAGAATTTCATTATAAAAAGCTGATTCCAGTGGAGTTTCTTATTACCTAGCTGGAAAGTTTCTTCAATAAAAGGCAAAACTCTTAAGGCAAAAATAATGGAATCGGAATTTCCTGGTAATATGCACATCTACACACTGTGTACTAAATATCTGCAAAGTTTGTCCAAATTCTGTGCAGCGGTTTAAGAGGAGTTGTGCTGACAAACTGTTCATCTCTATATTCAAGATATGGCCAAAAACCTAAGGTGAAAAGTGCTGAAATTCCCAGAAAAATAATGGAATCGGAATTTCCTGGTAATATGCACATCTACACATTGTGTCCTAAATATCTGCAAAGTTTGACCAAATTCTGTGCAGCGGTTTAAGAGGAGTTGTGCTGACAAACTGTTCATCTTTATATTGAAGATATGGCCAAAAATCTAAGTTGAAAAGTGCCGAAATTCCAAGAAAATATAAAGGAATCGGAATTTCCTGGTAATATGCACATCTATACATTGTGTGCTAAATATCTGCAAAGTTTGACTAAATTCTATGCAGCGGTTTAATAGGAGTTGTGCTGACAAACTGTTCACCTCTATATTCAAGATATGGCCAAAAACCTAAGTTGAAAAGTGCCGAAATTCCCAGAAAAATAAGGAATCGGAATTTCCTGGTAATATGCACATCTACACACTGTGTACTAAATATCTGCAAAGTTTGACCAAATTCTGTGCAGCGGTTTAAGAGGAGTTGCGCTGACAAACTGTTCATCTCTATATTCAAGATATGGCCAAAAATCTAAGTTGAAAAGTGCTGAAATTCCCAGAAAAATAATGGAATCGGAATTTCCTGGTAATATGCACATCTACACATTGTGTCCTAAATATCTGCAAAGTTTGACCAAATTCTGTGCAGCGGTTTAAGAGGAGTTGTGCTGACAAACTGTTCATCTTTATATTGAAGATATGGCCAAAAATCTAAGTTGAAAAGTGCCGAAATTCCAAGAAAATATAAAGGAATCGGAATTTCCTGGTAATATGCACATCTATACATTGTGTGCTAAATATCTGCAAAGTCTGACCGAATTCTGTGCATTGGTTTATGAGGAGTTGCGCTGACAAACTGTTCATCTCCATATTCAAGATATGGCCAAAAATCTAAGTTGAAAAGTGCCGAAATTCCGAGAAAAAATAAAGGAATCGGAATTTCCTGGTAATATGCACATCTACACATTGTGTCCTAAATATCTGCAAAGTTTGATGAAATTCTGTGCAGCGGTTTATGAGGAGTTGCGCTGACAAAAAAACAGGACTGACGGACTGACTGACTGACTGACTGACTGACACACTGACTGACTGACTGACGGACGGGTCAAAAACATTATACCTCACGCAACTTGTTGCGTGGGGTATAATGAAGGGCCATGCCTTCTTCTAAAGGGAGGTAATTACAAATGAGTGAAAAATTAATGGCATCTTTTAAAAACTTCTCAAGAACCACTGGGCCAGGAAAGATGAAACCTGTGTGGAAAGATCTTCAGGTAGTGTTGATTCAAATTTGTTTAAATCATGACCCCAGGGGTTAGGGCGGGGCAACAATGGATGATCAAATATTTACAAAAGATTATACATAGGAAAAACCTTTTTAAAAAAATTCTTTTCAAAATCAGCAAAGCAATGATTGGTGATATTTATATGGAAGCATCCTTAGGTAGTATAGATTCAGATTTGTTCAAGTCATGACTCCTGGGGGTAGAGTGGGGCCTTAAGGAAAGTACCCACTTACAGGGGAAAAAATCTATGAAAATCTTCTAAAGCCATGATAAATGAAAGAAATATGGAAGCATCCTCAGGTAGTGTAGTTTCAGATATGTCCCAATCATGCCAAAAACACTGCTCAATGACCTTTTGAACAAAAAAAAAATCACTTCTGTTTTTCCAGCCACTGCCATTAAAAGAGTCAATTGACAAATTCTAAATATGAGAAATTCTACTTTTTTGTTCAATTATCAGTCACCATGAGAAAAAGAAATTATGCTGTAGTTTTTGAATTATTTGCACATTTAATTTTAGGAGCAACAGAGTCTTGATTTTTAGAGGCAGGTTTTAAAGAAAGAAATCAGTGTTGTAAAGAAAGAAAAAGATTTTCCACTCAAAGAATTATGGATGACACAGAGGTAAAAAGGACAATAATGGTTAGATAGAATTAAGAAATTATTTATTACATTGGCAGATTTACCGAGGGGGGTGGGGGGGGGGGTAAGAAAATGTAATGGGTACTTGCAAATTTTTACATGGAGATTTTTTTTAATTTATCCTGCAGAAAATATAAATTTTAGGTTGTACATAATCTAGTAGGTGTTATATTTAGATTAACACTTTTTTGATATGTTTAAAACAGACATCTACTTAATAATTAATTATTTACAATTTAGCTCACCTTAGTCTAAGGCTCAAGTGAATTTTTTCTGATCAAAGAGTGTCTGGCATCTGTCTATCATACATAAATGTTGTGTGTCATCCATAAATTTTCAACTTTTCAAATTTTTTGTCCAGAAATCAACCCAATTTATCACAAGGCAGTACTGTATTGGGTGGAGAGGATTTAAATTCATTCAAATGAAGGGCCAAGGGGAGATAATTAAGAAAAAGTTTGGTGAATGTCATTTGAAAATCTTCTTCTCAAGAACCACTGGGTCAGGAAATAAAATATGTGTGGAACAATCCTCAGGTAGTATCGATTCATATTTGTTTAAATCATGACCCCTGCGGTTAGGATGGGGCCACAATGGACAAAGTTTTACACAAGAATACAAAGGAAAGATAACCAAAAATCTTCTAAGGCCATGATTAGGACAAGATAAAATAAATAGTATGTTTCATATTCCAAACCGAGAAAAAATAGTAGGTAGGCAAAACATTTTATTTTATTTTAACATTTTATTAGTTAAAATTCAACTTTGACAATAAACAAAATGAGAAAAACAAAGAGACTAAGTTCATTTCTTTTTCCCAAAAGGGTGGCTTACTAATGGTATTTCTGTTTAATGTGTATAGGATATGCAATTTCCCAAACACCGAAGTGATCAAGATTTGGATTTCTAATAGTGAAAATGGAATTGTTTACTTCCAGAAAGATATCAGCGGATAAATTTTTCAGGGTCGGCTCATATATTTTAGGGTCGGTCAGGGAACGGGAAACACACAATTTATTTATCTAGGCCTTAGTCAAAGAAATAGAAAACATCATCAGTTAGTGTAGATTTAAGTTTGTTCAAATCATGCCTGCTTCTCCTCCCCTTAGGATTAGTTCGGACCCAGTATGAATTTTAACTTTTCAATACTGAATGCCAAAGATCTAGAGCTCAAGTGAGCAATGTGGCCCATGGGATTTTCATTTGACCTTAGTCATTTCTATGCAAAATAGCCTAGTGTATGTTCATTATGATTGTTTTTTTTTTGTTTTTTTTTTTTGCCATACTTTGCCAATAAAAATACGGTATAAAATTGTCAAAAGAAGTTTAAAGATTTTTTAAAAATTTACAGGCAAGTTACAAAGGATATAGTGAGAACAATGGGGAGGGTTTTTTTTTCCATAAAGTGAAATAACTCTTGCAAATGGACAATTTTTTTATTTATGTAAGAAATGCCAGTTCTGTTCACACTAGGAATAACCAGTTTGCTGTCACATTGAAAGCCTTCCACTTGTCATACTTATCATGAAAAAAATCCATCCTACCCAGTCCCCTTGATTATGCATAATAATTATAAACACTCTAATTGTGTTTTGAATGTTATTTTTCAGGGTTCAGGAACCATAAATTTGATGTTGGGAGTCTTAACTTCACCCTGATAGACTTTGAGCACGTCATAAGTTTAAGACCTAAGGACAAAAATCTTGCAATGGGAAGATAACACAGCCTTGATAAAAATCAGAGAAATTTCGATAGAAAAGTGTGCTGGTCTGGACAAAAAAATTGCAATGTGAATAACTTTGAAGAAAGAAGAGTCTTGGTGAATTTCAGAGAATTCTTGATGAAAGAATGCATGTGTTGTTCCTGATTAATTTGTACATGAAATTTGTCCTTTTGACATCATTTGACACATTTGAAGTGATGCATTTTTGATAAATTTCTAGTTGAAATATGTCCATTTGATACTCCATTTAAAATGTCACATCCATGTCTCAGATTACCGCTGATGAACTGGGATCTGCATGTTTTAAAAAAAAAAAATTGAATTTCTGCATTTATATTGATTGAATTTATTAGCTCACCTGAGCCGGAGGCTCAAGTGAGCTTTTCTGATCAAAATTTGTCCGTTGTCTCTCGTTGTCATTGTAAACTTTCATAAATATGAAATAGCGAAAATTTAATGGCACCATTGAAAAATCTTCTTCTCTAGAACCAATGGGCCAGGAAAGATGAAACTCATGTGGAATCATTGTCAGGTAGGGTAGATTCAAGTTTGTTCTAATCATGACCTCCTGGGTGTATGGTGGGGCCACAATGAAAGTTCAAACTATTAGGAAAAAAAGGTCACAGTCAAAAAAATATGTAAGCATCCTTAGTTAGTGTAGATTCAATTTTGTTCAAATCATACTCCCCCCTTTTAGGGGTAGGTCAGGACCACTTGTGCATTTAAGCTTTTCAATACTAAACTGATTTTTGCTTTTTTCCTAGCCACAGTACTCAGGTGAGCGAGGTGGCCCCTGGGCCTCTTGTTAAATATGTATACCAAAGTAATCGAGGCATTTGCTATTTGAATATTTTGCAAATAGTTTCTTTGCCATTTTCCTGAAAGTAATTTGCACATTTATTTAAAGTTATCTGGTAATGATTTGTTATTGACCTACCCATTTGATGACAAGAGGTACATTATTATATTGTAATATTTACTCATTGTCGAAAAATCAAGACCAAAAATTGCCACTCAGGGTGGGGTGGGAGATAGAATGTAATAAAATTATATGAAAATGGATAATAAATTGTGATGATTTTTTTTATGGTGTTGTCTTGGATTTGAATGACAAACATGCACGGGAAGGCATGTTGGAAAAGCTGGATTGACTTTTTGGAGCTCTGTCATATACATGTTATAATCGTTGACCCAAATACTGTTCACAACATTGAAAATACATGTTCAAAATATGGGAGCTCCTATATGGTCTATATAGGAGCTCCTATATTTTGAACATGATTCAGGTCTACATTAATGAAAATAGAGGAGAGATCTTAGAAAATCAAAATTCCCACTTAGCCATAAATGAATAAAAAAACAAGATTTGTTTATGAAACAATGATGCTCCCCAATAGCAGCTTATGGTGAAGGTCAAAGTTTCTCAAATGCAAGTGAAAGTCCAAGGTCAAGGTATGAAAAATGTTGTTACCCAAAGAGGGTCTTGTCTGAAGGAATATGCCTGAAAAATTTGAAAATCCTAGCACTAACTGTTGAAAAGTTATGGTGAAGGTTTTTTTTCAAAAGTAAGTCAATTATCAAGGTCAAAATAATGGTGTCTTGTCACAAGGGAAGGTCTTGTCACAAGAAATACACGTGAAATATGAAAGCCCTAACACCAACAGTGACTGTTCAGAAGTTATGGGCAAGCTAAGGTAAAAATTTGGTAAAATTTTGAAAAACTGGGTCAAACTCCAAGAGATCAAATAATAGTAGTGTTTATTTATTATAGTGACATGTGTTTAACAAAATAGATAATCGCTTTTTACAAACACCTGGCACAATGGACCTATTTGTCACCTTTAAGATATACTATAATATACTTGTATAATGTTTACCCAAAGAAAGGTCTTGTCACAAGGAATACACATGCGAACTACATGTATGAAAGCCATACCTCCAACCAATCAAACATTATCGACAAGGTTAAAGTTTTTTTTAGAACAAACAGACAGACAGACAAGGCATAAACTATATGCCCCTGAATCTTTGATTATGGGTGTAAAAAAATACTAATGCAAAAGGTCTACTATATTATACAGATTTGTTCACATTGTACCTTAACCAAATTTTGGCCATAATATTGGTTCAAAGTAAAAGAAGGTAAAAATTAGGAAAGTCTATGCAATTTTTTTTCCACATCAATATCAGAAAAAAGGAGTTAAAATTCTTTAGAGTTACATAAAATTAGATCTTATATGATTATATGCAAAATCCTGTATATGTGTCTGATAATACATAAATTATATGTACGCATTTTAATATAAAAATGACAGTTATGTAGTACCTCCATATGCTAGACCTATAGATGGAATTAACACTCAAATCAAGTATTGAAAAAACTTACATCTAGGTAGATTTCCAAACAAGAGGCCCAAGGGCCTTAACGATCATCTGAGTACAACAATTTAGAGGATCCATAAACTGATAAACGAAGCTTTGTTGCCCAAAAGCAAGAGAAATAGTATGATTAGTATCAACGAAATAATTGGTCTAGTATCTATCTAACCCCCCCCCCCCCCCCCCCCATTTATCACTATTATCATGCACACTATTAACAAAATGACTTTTTTTCAACCCCATATTGGCCTCTCTTGGCCTTTAAAGAACATTTAAAAAGATAAGTTATTTTTGTCCCATTTTTATTCATCTATAATTTCCAAGTCATTAAAACTATGAAAGTACTTTTTGTATTATACAATATATATTCTTGCATAATTCTCTTATTCTATTAAGCTTTCAAAAACATTATTTACATTGATTAATTATCAAAAGAGAATGGCAAAGGGGAATAACTTTGCTCAGCAGAATACAAGTTAATTGAGCCCTGGCCAGGACCAGAACACTTGACTAAATGGTCAACGTCTTCAAAATTCTGGTAAAAATACCCTTGCATATTAAAACTTTTACTCTGTTTGCCTTGAACATCCCCAGAAGCATAGAAGATTTTCAAAGAAATGCATTTTCACAATAATATTATTAAATAAATAGAGCCCCAACCTTACACCAGATCATCTAAGCCATTGGCCATAAACTCACAATTCTGGAAGAAGCACCCTTGCTCATCATAACTATACACTTGTTTCTTTACTTTATAACTAGTAGTAGCAAAAATATTTTGAAAGAAATTATGCATTTTACTACATAATCAATAGAGCTCCCCCCCCCCCCAATCACCAGAACCCCTGACCCAGGGGCCATGAATTTCACAATTTTGGTAGAGAGCTAAATGCTTATTACAATCGTGCCAACAGTTTGACTGCTTGATGTCCAGGAGTAAAGAAGAAGATTTTTAAAGATTGCATTAATTTTAGTGGTTTTAGCCCCATCCCTCAGGCCCCAGGGGGGCAGGGACCATGAAATTCACAATTTTTGTTTCCCTCACCCATAGATGCTATATGCCAAATTTGGTTGAAATTGGTTAAGCGGTTTCAGAGAAGAAGCTAAAAATGTTCAAATGTTAATACAATGCACGACACACACCGCACAACGACGGACGAAAACAGATAGCAATAGGTCACCTGAGTGACTCAGGTGACCTAAAAATATAAGCACAAAACAAGACTCAAGTACTTAATTTATTATATTTTTTTGGCATAAACTTTTTTTTCCTTAAATCAATCCACACAAGAGAGAAATGAAATATCTCTAAATTCCATTAACTTTATATCAGTGTCCTGTTTGTGTGGGATTTTTATCTGCTATTACATCTGTACATATTCTGTATTGCTAATCTTGAAATGCTTAAAGACTGATATCATGGACTCTGCTCTCTCAAATTAGATAAACCACCAAGTCAAAAGCTTATAGGCTCAGTGTTACGGAACTAATAGTACAGAATCAAGTGATGACAAAAGGTCTAACAGTCTATTAATCCATCTGAATCTAAACAGATCTTTCTCCTTCTTCAGATCCTTTTCTTTCAAACAAAACCTTTTCAAAGTTGGTTATGATGTCATCAATAGGAAGTACTGAAATATAACAAAATTAATATTTCACCTGATTGTTGATGAATTAAATAACACATTACAAGAGCCTCATGGGCCACAGTGCTCACCTAAGTCACCTTGGTCCTACACATGTAGTGTTCTGGTTCTGAAGATTTTTTTTTTAAAAAATGTCCCTTTTTTCCCAATGAAAAATGACCCAATATTGTGGCCTCACCTTAGCCTAACTGTTAATAATTAAATTAACTTTAACCCCAATAACATGTCCTGCTGTCCTTCTGTCACACTTCGAACTTCATATGCTGATACATATAAATTATTAATGAGAGCTACTCAACTGCATGAACATTTTTTGACCTTGACCTCACTGTTCTTAAAATTTTCTTTAGTTCAGTTTTAAGAGCTATTTAAGATATTTTTTTCAAACCTTATATATGTGCTGATACATATTGATGGGATCTATTCAATGTCATTATCATTATTTTACTTGACCTTTTCTTTGACCTTGCAGACCTCACTTTCCTTAAATAAGTGAGTAGCTCAGTTTCAAATAAACTATTCAAGAGATTTTAATTAATCTTCATATGCTTATACATATTGATAAGAGCTATTCAGTTGCATGAACATTTTAAATCTTGACTTTTTTCAAATTTGTGTTAAGCTCAGTTTTAAAGAAATAATCATATTTTTATCAAACTTTATACACTGAACATTTTGAAGAGTGTTTTTGAACTGCAACAACAATTGTTGACCATGACTTTCCCTTTGACCTTGATATCACTTTTTTCTTAAATAAGCACATAATTCACTTTCAACAAAACTATTCAAAATACTTTTATGTAAGCTCTGATACATAATTTGTTGAGAATTCATCAACTTTGTTCATTTTTTTTTTTACCTTGACTGTCCCAATGACCTTTTCTTAACTTTTATTGTATATGTTTATAAAACTCAGTTTTACAAAAAAAAAAAATAAATAAAATAAAAAAAAAAAATTAAAAAAACCAAACAAACAAACAAACAAAAAACTATTAAAGATATCATCATCAAACTTCTTAACAAATTTTCATGTTGCATTACTAATATACTCTGGGTGGGGATTCATGTCCTATGGACAAATTTCTAGTTAGTAGTATATTCCCATGCAGATTTTTAATCCCATATTGTGGCTCCATCCTCTCAAAGGGGGTGTTAATTGAACATGAAACTACACTATGTCAGGGAACTTTCACACAAGTTTCAACTTTTCTGCCCAGTGGTTCTTGAGTAGAAGATTTTCAAATGACACCACCAAACTTTAACTTTTTCTTAATTATCTCCCCTTGGCCCTTCATTTGAATAAATTTAAATCCTCTCCATCCAATACAGTACTGCACTGTGATAAATTCGGTTGATTTCTGGACAAAAAATTTGAAAAGTTAAAAATTTGGAGATGACATACAACATTTATACATGACAGACAGATGCCAGACACTCTTTGATCAGAAAAATTCACTTGAGCCTTAGACTAAGGTGAGCTAAATTGTAAATAATTAATTATTAAGTAGATGTCTGTTTTAAACATATCAAAAAGTGTTAATCTAAATATAACACCTACTAGATTATGTACAACCTAAAATTTATATTTTCTGCAGGATAAATTAAAAAAAATCTCAATGTAAAAATTTGCAAGTACCCATTACATTTTCTTACCCCCCCCCCCCCCTCGGTAAATCTGCCAATGTAATAAATAATTTAAATTCTAACCATTATTGTCCTTTTTACCTCTGTGTCATCCATAATTCTTTGAGTGGAAAATCTTTTTCTTTCTTTACAACACTGATTTCTTTCTTTAAAACCTGCCTCTAAAAATCAAGACTCTGTTGCTCCTAAAATTAAATGTGCAAATAATTCAAAAACTATAGCATAATTTCTTTTTCTCATGGTGACTGATAATTGAACAAAAAAGTAGAATTTCTCATATTTAGAATTTGTCAATTGACTCTTTTAATGGCAGTGGCTGGAAAAACAGAAGTGATTTTTTTTTTGTTCAAAAGGTCATTGAGCAGTGTTTTTGGCATGATTGGGACATATCTGAAACTACACTACCTGAGGATGCTTCCATATTTCTTTCATTTATCATGGCTTTAGAAGATTTTCATAGATTTTTTCCCCTATAAGTGGGTACTTTCCTTAAGGCCCCACTCTACCCCCAGGAGTCATGACTTGAACAAATCTGAATCTATACTACCTAAGGATGCTTCCATATAAATATCACCAATCATTGCTTTGCTGATCTTGAAAAGAATTTTTTTAAAAAGATTTTTCCTATGTATAATCTTTTGTAAATATTTGATCATCCATTGTTGCCCCGCCCTAACCCCTGGGGCCATGATTTAAACAAATTTGAATCAACACTACCTGAAGATCTTTCCACACAGGTTTCATCTTTCCTGGCCCAGTGGTTCTTGAGAAGTTTTTAAAAGATGCCATTAATTTTTCACTCATTTGTAATTACCTCCCTTTAGAAGAAGGCATGGCCCTTCATTTGAACAAACTTGATTCCCCTTTACCCATGGATACTTTATGGCAAGTTTGGTTGAAATTGGCCCAGTAGTTCTTGAAAAGAAGTCAAAAATGTGAAAAGTTTACAGACAGACAAAATGTTCATTTGGCTCAGGTGAGCTAAAACCAAATCCAACACACGAGTGTTGCCTAATTGTGTTTAGTGATTTGTGCAGTTAACTGGTAGCTAATTGAATACACCGTGTAAAATGTAAAAATTAACAATAACATAGCTCTTGCTCATGTTAACAAACATAGGCTCATGTTAACAAACATAGGGTCGCCTGCTTGGCACAGTGGTTAAAGCATTTGCTTTAGAATCGCGGAGTAAGGAGTTGATCCTTACATCACGGGTTCGAATCCCACTGCGGGAGGTGGAGACCGGTCTTTCGGATGAGACCGTATAAAACCTGTGTTGCAGTAGGTGCTGGCATGAAAAAGATCCCTCACTGCTCAATGACTCTGAGTGCCGAGTATAGGTCCATATGAGTGAAAAATTCTCGAGAGGGACGTTAAACAACAAACACACAAACATAGGTGTTTGGTGCCATATTAAGAGAAATGTTTTGGTCCAATCAGATAACTACATAAAATCAGCAAATCAAGACAAGTCATCAATAGTCAGATTTTCAACTGACAGTAAGACTCAATGTAAATGATTTACTGCAGAGAAAATTCAAGCTAAAACTTTAAAATACGAGCATATACTGATAGTAAAGATATATTTGTTAGTAAAGATATATCATATAATTTATTGCCACTTTACCTATATATGGAACATAAAATCACCATGTAATCTCCATCCCCTATACAAAGGTACAGAGATAATTCGAACTAGTTTCTTCGGAAGCTGTAGTTCAATTACAATATGCTGACAGCTGATTTCTGAGACATTTCCTTTATCGAATGAATGTAAATCACTTACTTGTACAATAATATCACAAAATCATCTTTACTTACCGGCATACTGCCTGACTTTCACTGGCACTGCCGCACCGTTGATATTAGCACATGGCCTTGAGTCACGTGATTGTCTTCGGCAGACAAACGTTTCCTTTGTCAAGCGTCCAAATAATAATCTTTCTCGAAATTGGTGAATGTCAAGATTATAATTGTGCTGTGCATCAGAATCATACAAACGTTTGATTTTGTCAAGCGTCTAAATAATAATAATGTTGCATCTTTTCTGGTCGAGATTATTATTGTTGAACATTATAATTATTGTATGATCGATGTGGAATATAATTGTTATAATTTTGAGGCGAAATAAAAATAATGTGTACACATGGACAGACAAGATTATAATTATTAAGAAAGAATAATTATTATAATTTTGAGGCGAAATAAAAATAATGTGTGTAGACATCGACTGACAAGATTATAATTTGGAGGTGTATAAAAATAATGTCTCCGTACTAACTGAAAAGATTATAACTGTAAAGTGAGAATAATTATTATAATGTTGGGGCAGAATAAAAATAATGTGTACACGTTTGGCAGACAAGATTATAATTGTTGCAGGAAAATAATAATGTTGTAAAGAAAAACCAAGATTTTTATTTTTGTATGAGATAATTATTTTTGGTATACTTATATAGGAAAAAATAATAATAATGTGGGGGTACCCTACGGCTTTCCATAGTTATGATATATAATTTTTTTCTTCCACAATATTTATTTTCAGGTCTTTGATGACATTCTAAGAGCCACTACACAGGAAGGTGATAGATGTTGGGCTTTTGTTTTTGTTTGTTTGTTTGTTGTTGTTTTTTTGCCTTTTTTTTTAATAAATATTTTTTTATTACCCCAGTACATATATGTGTGTCCTTATAGCCAAGGTTGGGGAGCCTTGGAATCTATAAGTTAATTTAACATAGTATTTTTTTTTTACAAATACCTTAATGTAACATGAGGTTATTTTTATTTTTTACATACATTCATCTTTCATACTCCATTCATTCAGTTGCATGCATATACATATATCATTGTCTGATAATACTTCAGATAAACAACAGTAAAGAATTCATTGTTTTGTAACAACTAATGTTGTAGGAGAAATAGACTTAAGTATCAGTATTATTATCTATGGAAAGCCATGCCCATCTACTATTAAATTTTTCTAATTCACAATTTTTTGTATAAATGAATTTTCCACATTTATAATAATATAATATTTCAGATTTAATTCCCATTAGGGATGGTAGTTCTTTTTTACTCCTTTTTCTATAAATATGTCTTTTTGCTATACATATTATTACATTAAAAATGTTGAAATATTTGTAAAAACTACCAAGTAAAACATCAGTTTTGTTCAATGTGATATCTAAATGAAATTCTTCTTTTATCCATATTAATATATTATCCCATATTTCACTTACATAAATGCATTCCCAAAATAATTGGCCTAAAGTTTCTACATTACATTTACAAAATGTACAAAGTTCGGAGTCTGCAATTCCAATTTTATATAGAAATGTGTTAGTTGCAAGAATTCTATGTACAATTCTATAATGAAACCACCTCAACTGGACATCTTCAGTTATTTTAAAAAACAAAATATTTTGCTTTTTCCACCAAATATCATTTACATTCAAGTCAAGTTCATTTTCCCATTTGAATTCCCATTTTGGCTTTTTCCATTTCTGGTCAGTAAAGATATCATAAAAATCTCTTGAACCTTGCATATGTTTCTTAATTTTTTGTAAAAATTCTGGATAATAAGGTCTATTTTGAACAATATATTCTTTGTTATAATCTAAATGTAACCTTTTTATGCATTCTATTATTCCTAAAAACTGTGTAAAAGGAGGTTTTAAATCGTATTGTTGATAAAAATGTTCATAGTTTATCATTGTACCGTCACTATTAAAAAAATCTAATAAACGCTGCACACCATTGACAAACCATTGTTTGTAGTAAACATGTTTGTTATTAATACATATAGCATCATGGAGTTTTATAATTCCATATATAATCATAAAAAATTGTTTCAATTTCCTTTATCTTTTCCCTGGGAGGATCTGGAAGACTAATCAGTATATGTGTAATCTTTGGAAGAATCAAAGTTTTAATTACAGTAATACGCCCTGCTGTAGATAACATTCTTCTAGACCATGACTTAATTAGTGATTGCATTTCATTAATTTTTGGATTAAAATTCAACTCGTACATATCTTTATTATCCAAATTCACACAGTATGTAATACCTAAAACTGTAAATGGGTCTTGGGACCATTGAAGATTTTCAATATCTGTAAGAAATTCATTTGATTCATTTGATAAGGATCCTATTTTCACACATTTAGTTTTTTCATAATTTGGCTTTAACCCTGATTATTTTGCTTACTCATCTACTAGTGACAATGCTGACTTTAGTGAATCCTTGGTACCTTTTAATAATAACACAGTGTCATCTGCATATTGCAATAATTTATATTCTTTATCATTTACAACTATTCCTTTGATTGATACACTATTTCTTATCATTATGCCCATTTCTCTGCACAAAGAAGAAAAAGATATGGAGAAATAGGGTCACCCTGTCCGCATCCCCTGCCAATGTTAAAGAATTCTGAGAAAAAGCCATTTTGAATAACACATAATTTTGCCTCTTTAAATAAGGTTCTTACAGCATTCTGAAATTTTTCACCAAAATTAAAGAAGGTTAAAACTTTGAAAATAAATTTCCATGAGAATGAGTCAAATGCCTTTTCGAAATCAAGTAAGCTTTTGTTGGTTTTGACGCTCTACCCAATACGCTGGTGTTTTAGAGAACGTACATCTCGAACATGCCCATCTACAGCATGAGTTGCCGACAGAGCGCGGCTAGGATAAGACTGTCCGTAAAGTGAACTTTAGTGACTTCTCCGATCTACCGATCTACCTAGAAATGACGTCATAATAGCATATGGCGTTAAATCACTGCATACGCTCACACTTTACACAAACTACACAAAAAGGTGCACTAAGGATCACCAATAGATGGCAATTCATCAAAATTTGCATTTTCTTTAAACATGTTTTCAATTTCTTTTCCTCTCTCATGGACTGGGCTAACCTAGTAGCAGTATGTGATGCATCTAACAACGTTTTATTTCTACTTGATTGATTTGTAGAGCTTTCTGTAGCCCATCCAACATGGTTCATAAGATCATGAAAATTATGTGCAGCATTGGAAAAACACATATGTACAGCACACCCTCCTCTTAAACTATGTTTCGTCTCACCTTTATAGATGTCTAGAGTAATCAAATAACCTTTTAGTCTTTCATATATAGAGGAGTAAGACACTGGATCATTAATAACCCTTCCTGATTCGGTCACCATTCTAAAAAGATATCCTGAAAACATATCTATCCCTAATTGTTTTGCCTCTTCAAATTATATTTCAAGCTCTAACTGGACAAATAATTTCATTTGGGCAGCGTTTTAATACAAATGTATTTGTCTTTCCATTACCCCTAAGAGTTTACCCAAATGTATGAATCGAGTCGCCCGCGTGGCGCAGTGGTTAGAACGTCTGCTCTAGAGTCGCATAGTAAGGAGTTGATCCTTACGTCGCGGGTTCGAATCCCACTATGGGACGTGGAGACCGGTCCCTCGGATGAAACCGTGAAAACCGAGGTCCCGTGTCGCAATATGCTGGTACGGAAAAGATCCCTTAATGATATCTGAACCCCCCCCCCCCCCAACTACACCAACGATGCTAAATTTACAGATCCCTGATGCTTGAGGGCTTGTCTAGACTATTCTTAAGAAACACTCGACTCTTCGTGCTGTTTTTTTTTCTAGCTACATTTGCTAACTCATCCAATAATAATAAAATCATCGCTTCATTTGGCGATTTCTGGAGGGCAAGTTCCCGTACCTTCTCTTTGAGGCTGTCTACACTTTCTATAGCTTTTTCAAGGTTAGCAATTCTAAAGAGAATCTCATCTGCTGGAGTCTTTGTTTTACTAGTTTTCTTTTCAGTCTCCTGCTGATTAGTTGCTGTAGAAGCCGTCTGGTTATCACCTTCATTTTCAACTCTTTCTGATTGCAAAAAATAGTCACCGGAAATAAGACTTTTAACATAATATCAGAAACCGTATCATTTCTGAAATAATAGAAATATAAAACCCAATGGGTAACCTTCATTTCTCCGGAATGCAAATTACCCATAATACAACACGTTATGAACAGTCGACCTCGTAGTATGAAAAAATGCCTACCGTCGTCTCATTTAGGCTCCCCTGGTAGCCCCATATCATTAGCATACACAATTGCATGGTGTAGGAGACAGCCGAGATTGTTTAGCACTTTTCCTGCCATCTCTAAACAATCAGCGGCTCTCCCCCTGTGATTTGCTGGAACTGTGTTATTAGTTCTCCAGTGTCCAGGTCTTCTGACCTTGCTTCTGTGGCCATCCTAGCCGCGGAACCTCATACCTCATTAAGTCTTGTTCTCTTTATCAATGGGAGAATAATCTTCCCCTTCAAAGAATGTTTCGTTTTCAGCGTCGTAACAGCGTGTGGTATCTGAAATAATATGAATACAACTTTTACAACTTCACGTCTGAACTTTATAATTCAGTTTTTTATACACAAGCAACAAACCCGCCTCACGGAACACACTTTTGTTTTCCAAACTTATTATTACATAATTATTCATTTATCGTCTATACAACCCCGCATCAAGGGAATACAAAATCATAATTCTGTTAAAATTGCATGTTTTCTCTAATCCTACCTCATGGGACACTTGAACAACTCATGTTCTGTCATAACATATTCTCCCCTAGTCCGAAATATATGACGTTTTCCTGGCTTTTTTATGATTTTGATATTTTACGTGCCCGGAAAACGTCAGAACCGGCGCCATTACGAAAACTGGAATTTTTGCCTTCTCCAACCAGAGTTTATTTTCGATACTTGCAAACCGAAATAAATGCCGAACTCACAATTTATCGATAGCACAATGCTTCTAGTACTCACCAATATCGATGAAAAGAAAACATCACTCCGCATTTCGATACAGTACTTG